CTGGAACTCCTGCAGCATTTATGCTTAAGGAATATGGCTCTTCTTGCTGTAAATTTTTGCCCCATCACTCCTGTTATTTATATCACTCACATTACCTGGGATGATTTAAAACTTCATTGGCCAAAATGAACCACTTCTTATATCCCTGAAGTAATTTACTTATATACACCATTGGAAAGGGTTACACAACCGAACAAAATGAGTAGGAAGCTTACTTTAATTGGCATCTGGAAGCCTCAAGAAGAAACACTGAGATTTTGTTTCTCTTCAGGCAGTTAACTCTAAACTTTTGGACCTAATTCATAACTTTCTGAGAGGTTCTCAAAATTAGAAAAATCAGCCAATGCCTCTCCTATCTCCTTCTTCAGAGTACACAGTTTGGCTCCCCATCTGTTTATCTGTACCTCTTTAGCTCCTATGCATTTCTTGGGTCAAGATTTTCTTGAAGCCCCTAAGTCACACAGCTCCTTTTCCCCAAAGTGGGAAATATTTTAAAATATGGGACCCCCAAATACCAAACTTCAAGACAATCTAGATACCCTAATATCTGTCCCTTTTCTTTCTCTGAAAGACCCTAAACCAGAATCCCTCTTGCATTCTATTCCCAAGACTATTTAGTCAAAAAATGCCACCCAATTTAGTCGTATTTATTCTGTACTGCTCATTAAAATCCAGATTGTTGAAAGAAAGCTTCTGCCCAATATCAAAAGATACCCCTTAAGTTCTGAGGCAATCCAAGGAATTGAACCTAAAATTGAAGATTATTCACATGCAAAAAATTAATTGTCCTTTGCATATGTGCTTTTGGTTCTGTAATACAAAGCTGGTAATTTCAGAAATAAAGAACAAGGGACCAACAAACGTGGATGCAGAACGTTGTAGAAATTTTGAAGAAAAGGAATTTTATGTTGCATGGTCAAAGCTTGTTGAGACTGAATGTGTTTGTAGGTTTTTAAAAGTGAGCTCAATTGTGTACTGATATCAAACTAGAATTTGGTTTTCTCTCTGTTAAGACAACAAAATTATCCTAGATATTGGCCTGTTCTTAATAAGAAGTTGTAAACAGGGGTGCCTGGATGGCTCAGTTGGTTCGGTGTCCAACTCTTGATAGCCACTCAGGTCATGGTCTCAGGCTCATGAGATCGAGCCCAGCACTGGGTTCCACATCCAGCAGGGGAGTCTGCTTGAGATTCTCTTCCTCTCCCTCTGCTCCTCCTCGCTCTCTTTTCAAATAAATGAATCTTTAAAAAAGAAAAAAGAAAAAAAAAGTTGCCAACAAAGTTTATCATTAATGTAATCTGCCTGGGAAACAATGACTCTGGGTTTTTGTCTTTATCATATCTTTTATTACTTCAAAACTGAGTCTTCTCTATTCAATCTATGTAATCTTCTATATTTGTATTTGAATTCTTTTTTGTCACTTTGGTTAAGTAGATAATTAGGTACTATCTTAATTTTCTGCAATCCTATTTAGCCAAACATCTAAACCTTTTGATATTTTTAACAAACTTCCCCAAATCAAATTCTAAATAAAGTTTTTTAACCTGGAAAAATTTGGGAGATTTTTTTTTTTCTAGAGAGTCTCTGGAACATTCCAAAGGATCTATTAAACTAATTAGGCTTATTTGATATGATAAATTACATGATATGATAAATCTGACAAGTATTGTCAAATAAGTAATACTAAACTTTCTTTTTGTTATATTTACATGGGCATATGTTAATATAAGTGTTCCAAAAAATGTATGACATTCCTAAAATTCTGAAACAAGTTCAATAGAAATCTGTTTTCTGTGTAACAGGATGCCCAATGCACCTACCCCCTGCTTCCTTTGGCCTACACCTGATAAATAGGGATATACTTCAAATTTTCAAGAACTTAATCAAATCCATAGAGGATAATCAAACTTTGGTAGAACATCCTTTCCACAGCATGTTCCTGAGACAAAGACATTGACCATTATAGTGTTCAACCTAGAGATCTGGTTTATTAGAAAAGACATCTCCCCAAAGACTCCCTTCAGCATCGCTGGAAGCAACCATACCAGGTATTGCTAACTAATCTGCACTGCTAAATCTGAAGGCGTTGACACATGGATTCATTTCTCATTTTAAGAGGGCTCCAACATCCAACTATCTATTAAACCAACCAGAGAACTCAAACTAACTATATCCCAGAGAAAAGAAACAGACAAATCTGCTTTCCCAAGAGTCAGGACCTGGTCAGTACAATAATTTTTACACAATTACCAAAACCTTAGTGGAAACTACAAAACTCCCTGAGAACTTTGGACTATTGTTCCTCTGTGTAGGAATTCTCATGGATTTTTGCTGTTTTATACTCTGTAGGATTTCTTCACTGGCGGTAACCAAATCTCCAAGGTTTCTGTGTCCCTACTCTTGTTCCCTCCCTGCCTTTACATATATCAACACTACAAATTTTTTGATCCTAATAGTTTTCCTCTCTCATCTTCTCCCGCACATGGAAGGAAAATGTGATTATTCAAATATCTCAATCCCTAGCTTTATCTGGGGATCTGTATAACCGTTGAATCTGCAATCATTACCCAGTTTTTGCACACACACACACACACACACACACACGCAAAGTTTTGCAAAGACTAATGACCTAATAGTTCTGCCAGTCTCTAACTTCTCAAATGTTCTCAAACTTTACTGTAACTTTGGATAAAAAGCTTTGTGCTCTAGCCTACTGAGCCCAGGTTTTCAGCCCCAAACTCCCATTCCATGCTTTCTCTCAAAAAAAAGCACTACCCTACACACTATCCACTTTTTTCCCTCTAAGAAGACCAGTAAGCTCCTGAAAGGTGGGTTTTCAGGCTTACTTGTATCTGAAATACAAACACATGGACCCATCTTTCCTAATAAGAATTTGCCATTTGTGAAACTTTCTTATCCAACCCTCTTCCCTTGGCCAGCCCTCCCCAAGCCTGCCAACTTAATGAAATCTGTGGGGAACTTCCTAAGACTGATCCCGACCTTGAACTCATCTCCTCTTCATTGCCTGTCATGGAATCTATAAATATTGTCAACATGTCTGCCTTGCTCTGTGCATAGAGCATATATTTTTGTGGACATGGTCACCAGTTTTGGGCCTATGAATGTCCTGGCATTTGGAGAGGCCTTGGTGGTGCGTGTTTTGGGGGCACTTCACATCTCCTTTTACTGTTCTCAAAATGGCCTCCTGAATGTCACTCAAGAAGAAAAAGAGCCTCACCCATGGTGAATGATTACCTTTCCGAGTATGAAGACAATAGCTGTGGCCACAGCCAAGGCTGTGATCTTCTTGCCAGATATTTCAGAGATCAAATATCTTTGAGTCCCAGGTTTGTGGCTTGGGGTAGGCACAGCAGACTCAGAAGTTATGACAAGAAGTCTTAACAGAACTGTTAACAGAGTAGCTGCACCACTCCCAGAGCCATGGGAACCCAGAAAAGACCTTTAGGTCCCCTAGCTTGGGTAGCCCTTCACAACGAGATGGCTTTAGATCACTGACTTGCAGGCCCCAGAGGAGTCTGTGCCACACGTAATACCTCTTGCTGTACTTGGGTAAAAACCTCACAGCAAGGGGCGCCTGGGTGGCTCAGTGGGTTAAAGCCTCTGCCTTCGGCTCAGGTCATGATCCCAGGGTCCTGGGATCGAGCCCCACGTCGGGCTCTCTGCTTTGCGGGGAGCCTGCTTCCTCCTCTCTCTCTCTCTCTCTGCCTGCCTCTCTGCCTACTTGTGATCTCTGTCTGTCAAAAAAAAAAAAAAAATTTTAAAAAAAAAAAAAAAAAACACCTCACAGCAAGTAGTATTAGAAATCACTCTGTTGCTCAAACTAGCCACATCCTTAAAAGGGCATTTGGGCTTCACCCCAGGAGGCTTAATTTTTTTTTTCCTTTTCAGCGTAACAGTATTCATTGTTATTGCACCACACCCAGTGCTCCATGCAATACGTGCCCTCTCTAATACCCACACCTGGTTCCCCCAACCTCCCACTCCCCTCCCCTTCAAAACCCTCAGATTGTTTTTCAGAGTCCACAGTCTCTCATGGTTCACCTCCCCTTCCAATTTCTCTCAACTCCTTTCTCCTCGCCATCTCCCCTTGTCCTCCATGTTATTTGTTATGCTCCACAAATAAGTGAAACCATATAATTGACTCCCTCTGCTTGACTTATTTCACTCAGCATAATCTCTTCCAGTCCCGTCCATGTTGATGCAAAAGTTGGGTATTCATCCTTTCTGATGGAGGCATAATACTCCATAGTGTATATGGACCACATCTTCCTTATCCATTCGTCCGTTGAAGGGCATCTTGGTTCTTTCCACAGTTTGGCGACCGTGGCCATTGCTGCTATAAACACTGGGGTACAGATGGCCCTTCTTTTCACTACGTCTGTATCTTTGGGGTAAATACCCAGTAGTGCAATTGCAGGGTCATAGGGAAGCTCTATTTTTAATTTCTTGAGGAATCTCCACACTGTTCTCCAAAGTGGCTGCACCAACTTGCATTCCCACCAACAGTGTAAGAGGGATCCCCTTTCTCCACATCCTCTCCAACACATGTTGTTTCCTGTCTTGCTAATTTTGGCCATTCTAACTGGTGTCAGGTGATATCTCAATGTGGTTTTAATTTGAATCTCCCTGATGGCTAGTGATGATGAACATTTTTTCATGTGTTTGATAGCAGGAGGCTTAATTTTAAGTTTTTTTTAAATATTTTTAGCTGGATTACTTTAATTTGTACCCTATATGCTATTTTCAAATTGCTTATACTGCACATTGCCTATTGCTCTACTACTACTCAAAATGTCAGTGGTAATTGCTCAAAGACTCAAAACCATTAATCAGATCTACCATTTGACTAACAGAAATGAGAACCTGATTGATGGCTAGACCTTATTTCCTCCAACTTCCTTGTTACTCAAATGTGACCATAAGACTCTCACCTAGCACCTACTTGGATATACTAAATATCAACCAGCTATGAAATGTACCCCCTCCTGAGAGATAAGATGGACCAGGAGCAGGTTGCCAACCACTCCAGCAATGAAATGGAACTCCACCACCATGGACTTGATCACAGATGCTTTTCTGCCCGAAAGATCTTGATCAAAAGGGGAAAATGTGAGAAAAAAAAATCCAACATGAAGTAAGCATTGTTAAGAGACTCATTCAAAATAGAGTCTGGGGGCTCCTGAGTGGCTCAGTGGGTTAAAGCCTCTGCTTTCGGCTCAGGTCTTGATCCCAGGGTCCTGGGATCGAGCCCCACATCAAGCTCTCTGCTCGGCAGGGAGCCTGCTTCCCTTCCTCTCTCTCTGCCTCTGCCTACTTTTGATCTCTCTCTGTCAAATAAATAATAAAAAAAACTTTAAAAAAAAAAAAAAGAGTCTGGAAGATACTGAGAAAGCAGAGCCAAGGCCCATCTCCTGTTCAGTGCTAGGAACACCATGAACTTTTGACTTTTGTCAGTTGCAACTAGGACCACTTCCTGGAATGTGCCCTTCAACTTCACTGAATTAGAGATAATGTAACATCTGCTAACTAAATAACTAATCCTGTATCTGTCAGTTTAACTGCACCTGCACCAATCATAATTTTTTCAAAACAAATTATGTAACTTCGTGGCTTCTGCCTTTATAAACCTGCACTCCTGGGCTCACACTTTTATAATTCACATGTTGGTCAACTCTGCGTCTCCCAAGATTGCAATCCCTAAGGCCCTAAATAAACATTTGTGGGCTTTACAGGCATGTGGTCTTCTTGGTCCACAGCCTCCAGGGTGGAGAGAGCCCACCCCTCCAAAATCTTTCCAAGGCTTCTTAAATTGGCCATTTTCAGTCCCCATTTGGACTGACTGCCTGATAAAATCCCAAGCTTGTCCAGCAATCAATGCTCCAAATATTGCTTAAGAGATGGTACCCCAGCAGTCCCACCCAGCACTGCCCTGGCAAGGCAGGCCAGATTTCTTCAGCTCTACCTTCAGAGGGAATATGTGTATTTGTGTAGGTTAAAGCTTAGAATTAGAAGGATGCCAGGTAGCTCCCTCCTCTGACCAGCGTTAAAGCTTAGAATTAGAAGGATGCCAGGTAGCTCCCTCCTCTGACCAGCCTCAGCTGATGTTGTCTTTTCTCAGGACCCTGGTACCCTACCTAACCTGTCCTCCCACCACCCCCCAGCCCAGGCATGCACAGTCCAAACCATGGTAACAAGGCTTGGGCTGCAAGGAGTTCTTCAGAACCAATGAGTTTGGGCAGGTCCCCCATCACCAGAATGGCCTCAGGGTACGAAGAACCCACACCAGGAAAATATTTCTGAGTCTCCGCTTGAAACTGGGGATTGCCGATCCCTAGTTGGACTGGCTGCCTGAAGGTGTCCCAGGCTTCTCCAGCAATGGAGGCTTTCCGAGGTCTCTTCTTGAAGGGTATCCTAACCATCCAGTGTGGTCCACCTGGCTAGACCTTTCCAGGTTCCCCCAGCTCTTCCCTCGGGGAGAATATGCGAATTTGTGCAGGTTAGTGCTCAGAATTAGCCAGATGCCTTGTGCCACCAACAGCCCATGCTCGGGACCTGGTTTCTTTAGCCACTTGTGCGTCCTTCTCCAGACCCTTGCAGGTCCCGGACTACACAGACCGACCTGCGCAGCTTGTACATGCGCAGTACGCATTTGTGTCTTCTAAGTGTGGCTGGGGCCGCCGGAGCCACCCACATAGTCTTCTGCACGGAGGGATCCTGCTCCTAAAAATCTTTCTCAGGGGGTAACTTTAAGCTGGTGATAGTCCACATGAGGACTGGCTGCCTGGGGAGCCTTTGGCTTCTGTAGCCATGGAGGCTACCAAGTGTCTCTTATTGGAGGATACTCTGGCCCATCTGCCAGGCTGGATGCTGGTCAGGCAGTGTCGTTTCCTCCAACTCTGTCTTCGGGGTGACTAGGGGCATTTGTATAACACTTGCGACACTTGTACCCCAAAGAGCCTGCTCCTGTTGACTAGGCCTCTCTCTACACCTGCCCTGTTTCTGGTATCGTGGCTACCCTGGCCTGAGCGGTTTGCGCGTGTGCAATCCACACATTGTCAGCCACCCCCCGCCCCCACAGTGGTTTGCAGGAGCGCTCCAGCCCCTGGAGCTATGTATGGGAGGACCTGACCCCCTGAACGGCCTCCGGGTGAAGGAAGCCCGCGCTGGCAAAATATTTTTGCGGGGGCCAGTTTAACTGGTGATAGTCCCCATGTGGACTGGCTGCCTGAGGGTGTCCGACGTTCTCCAGCAAGCAAGGCTCCCAGGGGTCTCTTATTGGAAGGTATCAAAGCAGTCCGGTTTGCTCCAGCTCTGCCTTCTGGGGGAATATGGATATTTGTGTCCATTAGGGCTTGGATTAGGCGGATGCCCTGTACCAGGGTAACCCACTCCCCTGCCCCAACCTCTCCAGACACTTGATCAGTTCCAGGTCCCTCTTGACCCTTACCTGCTGGCTTCCCCATGTGCAGAACACATGCCATTAGCTGCTGGGGGGTGGGGAGAGGTGTGGTCCTCCAGGTCCATGAGCTGAACCACCTGCATAGCCTCCTGGGGGTTCTCCAGAAGTCCAGACTCCCAGAGGTGTCCTGTTGGCTTACTCCATCCTGTGTCCTGGGTCACATGCTGGCAATGGCCTCAGGTATGCAATTTCCTCCTCCAGCTCAGCCTTCAGGGCGAATATGCGAATTTGTGTGGGATTAGGCTGGAAATGAGGCCAATGCCAGGCACTCCTAACCTGCTCCTGTGACTCCCCCTCCCTACAGCCACCTTTTCCCAAGTTCCTGGGTCAAAACGGCTCCTTTGACTGACCCTCACTGCTTGTACATTAGTGTCTATACTCTGCAGCCGGTCTATGGCCGGGGTTCAGGCTGGTCCCCAACACCTGCATAACTTCCAGGATACAGAGTGCCCCCTCCCCCCGAAAATCTTTCTGAGGTATCAGTGTTAAACTGTCATCAATCCCAGTGGAAAAAAAAAAAAAAAAACCTGCTTTTCCCCCTTGCTTTTTTCCCCTGCTTCTATTCTTACTAGGGCCTGCACCCCACCCTGCACATGCTTCCAGCCACGTCTTCCTTGTGTGGAACAAAGAGTTAATGATGTCTCTGGGGTCTTCCAGCACAGTGGTTTCTAAACCATGGGCACTAGACATCTTGACGCCAAGACCCCTGGCTTTAAAGAATGAGTGACTTATGATAGACACCCGGATCTTGTCCTCATCCCAGCCGCTTCCTGGATGCCTGAGAGGACACGTACACCAGACTGGAAACACAGATAACACTCGGGGTGCTTTCCTTACCGAGTCTCCTGGGACCACCCCCCACAGCCGGCCCCAGGTCCTTGGACCCAGCCTGCTGGCGTCATTTTGACCATCCCACACTTTCCACGCTGGTTATGTAGTTGAGTTTTCTATAGCTCTGTCCTTAGGGAAATAGGCTCATTTGTGTAGGTAAGCCTTGGACTAGCCAGATACCAGGTACCACCCCCACCCCCCAGAGACTTTTTTTTATGAACTGACCTCGTCCAACATTGCCCTGTGCCAGGTTCCGGGCTAGCCTGAGCTATGAAGCCTGCTTATGCGCCGTATGCACCAATAAGCTGGCCTTGGGCAGACCCAGCCCTCCAAACCCATGGACGGCGCAGGCCAGGCGCCCTGTGTAGCCTTCCGCAACTCGGGATCCCACCTCCTGAAACTGCTCTGAGGCAGCAGCTGCAAAGAGGGACATTCATCCCCCACGAGAACAGAACGCCTGATGGGCCTGTGCCACGATCAAGGCTCTCAGGTGTGTCTTATTGAAGGCGACCCTGGCCAGACCTCCCATCCAGCCCTGGTGAGGCAGTCCAGATTCTTTCTCTCTGCCTTCCGGGGGAATAATCACATTGTGGGGGAGGGGGGGCACTTGGGTGGCTCAGTCGGTTAAGCATCTGCCTTCGGCTCACGTCATGATCCTGGGTCCTGGGATCGAACCCCGAAACCGGCTCAGCAGGAAATCCACTTTGCCCTCTCCTTCTGCCCCTCCCCCTCCCTTAGCTCGTGCACATGCATGAGTGCAATCTCTCCCTCTTCTCTCAAATAAATATGAATAAATAAATCTTTAAAAAATACAGATGCACATTTGTGTAGGTTAAGGCTTAGAATTCAACAGCACAAAGCCCCAGTCGCTCACTCCTGTGAGCTCACTTCCCCAGACACTTGCCCTGCTCCGGTCCCGGGCTCCCTGAGCTGCATGGCTCACACAGGTGCGGTGTGTATCCCATCAGCTGCCTCTGAGCAGTTGGCGGAGGGGGGCCAGGCCTGTGGAAGTTGGGCGTATCCCCAACTACTTGCACTGAGTCATCAACTGAAATGGGCAACAACAGAGAGTTCCCAGTGGACCTGTTGGGGTCCTGGGCCTTGTGGTACAAGAAGGCTCCCAGGTGTCTCTTACTGGAGTACACCACCACCAGTTTGCCCGGTTTAGCCCTATCCGTAAACCAGCCAGTATCCTCTCATCTTTAATCTATAAAAACATGTTAGTCAATGCCTTTCTTTCCAGTATTACCTTCAGTGTCTATTTTAGCTTGTTTTGATGTCTTTAAAAATCCATAGTTCAGTTTCAGTACTGGGAAATGACCTCCCACTCCTTCTTATGGAAGCTCATCAACTAAACTTACCCTTAGCCAAGGAGCACTTTCCTGAGCTGAAGAGCATGTTGTGTACTTGAGTGGCGGTGGCCTGCAAAAGGGCAGTGTTGGCAAGAGGATGGAATGCTTGCCACGGCTGGTCCACACTAAGTGAGCCCTCCGTCTTCAGGCCCTCTCCCTGCCCCAAACTCCATCCCAGTGTTATCAGCACAAAACTCCCAGCAGCTGTCCCAGTTGGTCAGATTAGAATTTAAATTTATTTCCCATCCCTGTCATAAAAGAAAGAAGCATTTCCCACCCTGACTTCCAAACACAGGTGCCTTTTGCTTTTTTTCTAGTTAAAAAAACAAATGGGTTTTGCCAGTATTCATGTCAAATTTCTTGGCATTCCTTCTTTTTCCTTAGGCAACCCTGATTGCTTTTGCATCTGTTTCTTTTCTTTTGTTTTTTTTTTCTTTTCTTTCCTTTTTTTGAGATTTTTCTGGTGGTTTATTTTGTAGCATTATGTTTACAATGCAAATTTACAATTTACAATAATTACAATGTTTAAAGCATTGTAGGTACTTAAATGTTTGCCTGAACATGAACTATGACTATTATTTAAATACTCTAATAGACTATTGACTATTAGTTAAAATGACCTATATAATAAACACTTGCACACACACATATGCATACATACACTTTTGGCTACTGCGCTCACTTACCACGACCACAGGTGGGCACTATTAAGAAAACCAATAAATTGCATTTCTTTCTTATGGATGTTGAAGAATGTGCCTTATTCCCATGGGTTGTCTTGTTTTACTGAAAAGAAATCTTTTTCGTCTTTCTCAGTCGACTGATTCTTGATTAGTTCCAAAAAGACCCAGTTTATACAAGTGGCATGTGTCCTTAAAGATGGGACAGGAAACCGCCCTCCTTTAGCAATAAGTCTAAGAGCCAAAGAATCTTGCAAGGGTCCGGTGACACCCGTGGCCATCAGTGGAGGGACACAGTGCAGTCCCCAGGCCTGGAATCTGCTGCGCCCTCCTTCACTATTTCCTGTGCGCCCGTTCTTATTCACGAGGCTTTCTTGAATCGGAGAGAGAGAGAGGTTGCAAGTCAGACAGCAATTGCTCCCAGTCTGGGGTGTGCTGGCTGGGCATGTGTTAATCCTAAGTATGAATAACATTCAGCTGTGTGTCTGGAGTGGAAGAGGCCAGAGTGTCTTCAGAATTCCTGCCTTAGAATATTGTCCGACCAGAATTAACGAGCAGAATAGCCCTCCGCACCCCTCACCTACCCTTCTCCTGGCTTTCCGGCTGCCCTGTCCACACCCAATGAACACTGGATTTGTTGACATCTTTTGTAGAATAGTTCTCTACCAAATCTGAATTCAGTTTTGAAAATCTCAAAGATTCAGTCCTGCAGTTTAGAAAAACAGGAACTCTCAGGAACATGTCTTAAAAGGCAAGCTTTCATCGAAATGGGCTCCCAAGAATGCGGAAAAACAGAGCCTGAAGGCAAAGAACACAAGATGTGTTAATAGCTGTTCCCAGCCTCGCAAGTTTGCGGGGAGGTGACTTTTTTAATACATAAACTCACCACTGGAGGGTGTTACGTACTTCTCCAAATACACTGGAACAGACTGAGGCTCCCATACTGTGAAAACTGACTGGGGAGGGTGGGAGGGGCTGTGAATTATTTACCTATAGTATGTAATAAAGAGGCTGTCAATCGCAGGTTGCAGTCTGAGTCATAGATTGGTTGATACAGAAGCTGACAAAGATTCTTGACCAAACTCTAGTCATGCTCC